GGGCGGGGGGGGGTTCGAATGGTGCAGCAGACAGGCAGGGGTGTGTGCAGGGTGCACCCCCAGGTCAGGGAAGGCCTGCCACTAGCCCTGGGGGGCTGAGGGGGGTGCGGATGCAGGACGAGCAGGGACCGTGTGAGCCTTGGGGGGCACTGGGATCAGCTGCAGCCACGGGTGGGGACGGGGTTGAGCGGGACTAGATCCCTCTGGCCGTGGTGCTGACAGACTTTGCCTGGAGGAAGCGGGGAGTCCGGCTCATGAGGTGCTCAGCACTGGGGGGGGGAGGAGGGGGAAGGGAAAAGGGGGCAGCGGGGGGAGTGAGGACGGGGGGGGCAATGCCGATGCCCTGGGAGGTGGAGGGGGCAGATGCATGGGTGCTGCCCAGCTGGCTGTGACCTCAGAGAAGGAGTGACAGGTGGCACCAGGGTCTGGGGTGCAGGCGTGGGCACCGCTGGGACTTGGTTGGGGGCTTGAACTAGGGGGGTCCTCTGAGCATCGAGTGAGGTCAAGCTGACCCCACCCCTGCTGGGGTCACCCCAGGTGGACACAGGAAAAGGAAGGGCCTCAGGGAGGAGGGCCACGGCCTCCGGGGCCTGTGGTGGACGCCACCCTCACCTGCAGCGTCAGGGGAGGAAGCCGAGGCCAGGCGGCTTGAGTGAGCACGACCCAGCCAGGCCCGCGTGTCCCTCAGCCCAGCACCCACTCTGCGCTGGGACCTGGCCCCCAGGTGCCCCAGGGACCTCGCCATGTGCCTCCTGCTCCATTCCCTGTGGGCCCCCATCTGGGGAGGCCTTTGGGGGACTGTGAGACCCCCACAGAGAACCAAGGCCAGCAAAGGGCAGGGCCCATGTTACAGCTGGAGACACGGAGTCCAGGCAGAGGGAGGACGGTCCTGCCTCACGTCCGGGGCCCATGGCCCGGCTCCCGGCTCCCAGCCCCAGCCCCAGCCCACGGAGGCCACTTACCCGTCAATGACAGGTGTGGTCTGCATAATTCTCTTTGCCTGGTCCAGAAACTGGTCAGCGGTGCAGACGGCCACCAGGGGCCAGAGCCACCAGCAGGTCCACATGGCGCAGTCCCCAGGTTCCTGGTCCCGCAGCTGCTCCGGCCTGGCTGCCCTGTGCCCGGGGACGAGCTGAGGCTGGAAGACAGTGCAGAGGCCTTTGGTCAGGCAGCGGTTGCCAGGAGGGGCCGCGTTATCAGCAATCAGCACATTCCTGGCCAGGGTGGGTAGGTGGCTGGGCGTTGCTGTCTGGACCAGGCTGAGGGGTAGTAAGAGGCTGCTGACCCCTGGGGAGGGGCCGGGATCCAGACGGAAGGACGCAGCTCAGAGGCGGTCGGCTCACTGCACCAGGACGGGGAGCCCGTCGCAGGACTACAAACAAGAGCGAAAAGGCACTTGAACTTTGCTCCCACCACACCCACCAGTGCCAGGGTCTGCACCCCAACTCCTGGCCTGCAGCTGCCGGCCTCCCAGGCTCCAGGCACATGGGCTGGACTTCGGGGCGTGAGCCGGAAACCCAGACTGTCAGTGGTTCCTCTGGAGGCGGCACCCAAAGCCCAGGGCCCAGGATGACGGCCTGTTCTTGAACCACAGACGTGGCGTTGGCTCAGCCCGCCCTGCTCTGCAGCTCAGGGTGACAGAGCGAGGCACTGGCCTGCGGCACAGCTGCCAGCTGGGGGCACCAGAAACCTCAGTCATCATGACGAGTAGTATTTTTTTAAAGTATATTTTTTTATTGATTTCAGAGAGGAAGGGAGAGGGAGAGAGAGAGAGAGAGAGAGAGAGACATCAATGATGAAAGAGAATCATGGATCGGCTGCCTCCTGCACGCCCCCCACTGGGGATGGAGCCCGCACCCCAGGCCTGTGCCCTGACTGGGAATTGAACTGCGATCTCTTGGTTCCTAGGTCGACGCTCACCCCTGAGCCACAACGGCCGGCTGTAGGTTTTCTGTTCACTCTGGAGTTGTCGGTCGCCTTTGTGTTCGGAGCTCTGTGCTTTAACTTGCAGTTTCCGGGTGATTTCCGACCTGGAGACTTCCTCCCTTTCTGTTCTTGTGCTTCTTTTGTTGGAGCTGGTGCTCCACCGCTCCCTGGCCACGGCCGCGTGGGCAGCGGGTGTCTGTGAGGTCGGGCCTCTGCAGGTCTCAGACGCACGTCTGGGCGCAGACGTCCCCTCGGAGCCCGAAAGCTCCGCTTCTGTGCACGGGGAGGGGTGGGCGCGGAGCCCAGTGCCGTCCAAGTTCCACTGTGCTCATCCTTGGGGGCTGCGCTCCTCCCAGACAGGCCTGAGCTCCGGGCTGTGTCCATGCCGCCGGCACAGCATTCGGTTCCCAGCCCGAGGCCCGGCCTTTCTCCAGAGAAGCATGGCATCCCCGGTCCTCGCTGCCTCTCGCTCAGAGACCCGCCCTCCCGAGTTGGCTCCCGTGTTTTCTCTCCTGTTTTAGCTTCTCTTCTGCGTTTGTTCTGTTCCCGGCTCGTTCACTGAGTAGCTCCTTCTGGGAATTCTATAGTCAACGCCCGAGAGCGGTCTTGCTTTTGCGTGCGCGCCGGTGGCTGTGGTGTGTTCCCGCGGCTCCGCTGGTGATGGGAACGCCACTGGCTTCAGAGGGTTTGTCCTCTGCGGGCTGGACTCTCTCTCCTGGTTTGTTTGTTTGTTGTGACCTGCGGTTTCCTTTGCCGCCTCTCCTCGCGAGCAGCGGGCGGTCTGGGCGGTCACTCCCCTCCCCACTCGGCCGCCGCAGCCGCAGGGGAGCTGGCGGAGCTGTGCACGCTGCCCGCTCAAGCTCCGTGCAAATGGGCGAGCCGCCCGCCTTCGAGGGGCCGGTGCCAGAGCTGGACTCCCGAGCTTCTGCTTCCGATTCTGATTCCTGCCCCGCGGTCACCTGCCACCTGGAGGTGAGGCTCAGGGGGAGCGGGCCTGGCCCCCACGGGCTCGCCTGACGGGGCAGCTTCGACCTCCTCTCGGGAGGCGGTGGCCGGAGGGACAGCTGTCCACCGCCTGGGTCTGCCTCCTGGAACCCCCCCTGGGAACCTGGCTTAGCTAGCTTCTTGTTCGCTTGTTTGTTTTTAATCCTCACCGGAGGGTATTTTTCCATTGATTTTTGGAGGGAGTGGGAGAGAGAGGAAGAGACAGAGAGAAGCATCCATGTGAGAGAGACGTCGATGGGTCGCCTCCTGCGGGCGCCCCTACCAGGGCCCCAGCTGGGGAGGAGCCTGCAACTGCGGTATGTGCACGTGACCGGAATCGAACCCGGGACCCTTTGTTCCGCAGGCCGATGCTCTACCCCCTGAGCCGAACAGGCCAGGGCTGGCTTAGCTGGTCTTGCCAGCAGCCCCTACGTGGCCCCAGCCTGCCTCCCGCTCTCCCAGCTGAGGCCCAGACCCCCATGAATGTGCAGCTCAGGGGCTGGTGGCTTCCCCACGTCCTCCTGGTGGTCCGGCCCTGACCACTCTCCCCGGTGGCCGCACAGCCTGGCTGCCCTGTAACCCGGCACAGTGGCGGGTCCTCCGTTAGGGACACCCCGAGAGGAGGTGCCTCCGGCCGTATCTCGCTGCCTCCCCCGCCCCAGAAGCCACCCTCTTAGCCCTTGACCTGGCACCGGTGACCCCTGCTCCAGCCGCCCTCCATCCATCGCCGGAGAACCCCGGAACCCAGCCTGCGGGCCCCCCTCCCCGGATCCTGATGCACTCACCTGCCGGCCCACCCCCCCCAGTTCAAGCTCAGAGGCTTCACTGGGTATACAGCAGGTGCCCACTAACGGATGCCCGCAGGCGCACCCTCCCCCAGGTGGCTCCGGAGGTGGGGGGATCACGGAGCCGCGGCCCCGGCCCCGTCGGGAGCCCCGACTCACCGGCAGCAGGAAGGGGCGGCTGGAACCTGCCTCACGGCCGCTCTGCTCCCCAGTCCTGAGTGAACGTGGGGGTTTATTGCTCTTTTTCTCAAGTTTCACCCCTCCCCTGAGCCCGCTGCCAGCTTCCCTTGCACAGAAAAGCCACCTCTCAGAGGGAACACTCCCCCGGGGCCTTCGCAACCCCACAGGCAGGACAGGGGCTAATGCCTCCCACATGTCAGCTGGTTCTAGTTTCTCAGACGCAAGCGAGGCTCCCTGGGCCCGGCCCTCTGGGCTCAGGCTCCCTCCGACCCGCAGGCTGGGCCCGGGGCCCGGGACAGACAGGACCGCAGGGACGGTGTTGGAGACAGGAATCGAGGTCCCCGGGGCAGTGATGTGGGGGCGATCTCAGCAGGGGGTGTGCTGATTGGGGAGCTGGGAGGAGGAGGCTCGGTGCAGGGGCTCCAGAGGGTCCCTGGGTCCCTGGGCCCCTGCTGCTCAGCCCACAGGGTCCCTGACGGGTCAGCTAAGGACTCAGGGCCCAGGCCCCTTCCCTCAGGGCCCGGAGGCCTGCCGCGGCCCTCACTCCCCTGGAACCCGCCCCAGATCCAGGACCCCGTCTGCCCGGCCGGCCCTGAGGCTGGGGGCTCTGGTTTCCAGGATGTGAGGGGTGAGGGTGATCTCCCCATATTCCCAGCCACCAAGGAGCAAAAGCCGCCACGGTCGGCTGGAATTCCTCTGGCAGAACCCCCGGGACTTTCGAAATCAAGGGCAGGTCCGTGGGCCCTGGCCCAGCTGGGGGGGTCACCGTGTGGTTTCGGGATTCTGAGGTCGTCGTGGGGACACACCCGTGCGGGCTGTCCCGTCCCCACCCAGGCCCCGGCAGCCACTGTCTCCCTCCCTCTCTGCTCACCCTCTGCCAGCTACTGTCTCTAAATGGGGGACCGTCCCCAGTCGGGTTGCCGCCGCGAGGGGTTCAGATGCCAGACTTGGGAGGAAGGGGACACAGCGATGATCCGGGGGGCGGTTGGGGGTTCCATCACCTCGGAGCTGAGGGGAGTCTGGAGGAGAAGGGGCTCAGAGGGAGGGGCATCCAAGTAGAGGCTGGCGGCTGTGCGGCCCCGCAGGGCGCCCAACCCTCTCTGACCCTCGCCCTGACCCTCGCCCTGGGCAGGGCTGGCCGTGGGCAGGACCTGAGGGTGACGGCCCAGCAGAGGGGCTGGGGGGACCTGCTCCTGGGGAGCCCGGCCAGGGCTGCGTGTGCTCGGGGCGCCCCAGACCGGGGCCTGGACTGCGGGGCAACCGACTCCACATTCGGGCTGCCCTCCTGCCGGGCCTGACCCCCTGACCTCACCGGGCTCCTCTGGTGAAGCTCCCATTTAGGGACGGACAGGAGGCCTGGGTCTGACCTTCGGGGGGGGGGGAAGGCGTGGGGGACAGATTCTACTTGTAATGTCATCACCTTAAACACTGAGGTTGAACGCCGACCTGGGAACCAGGAGGTCACGGTTCGGTTCCCGGTCGGGGCACAGGCCCGGGTTGCGGGCTCCATCCCCAGTGGGGGGTGTGCAGGAGGCAGCCGGTCCATGATTCTCTCTCATCACTGATGTTTCTGTCTCTCTCCCCCTCTCCCTGCCTCTCTCTGAAATGTATAAAAATATAAACAAAACAAAACAGAAAAAGCCCCAGGCAGGCCACCCCATCCCCCGCACAGCTGTGGGATTCCCCACGGATTCCGGGTCCTCTGAGGCCGCCATTCACGGCTGCTCGGCCGGCTCCCGCCCGCTCTCCCCACCCCACCTTGGGCTCAGGAGTCCAGCCGGGACCAGGGACAGAAGGAAGTGTGGGATGCAGACACGGTGCTTGTCCAACTGCCTCCGGTGGCACCTCTCTTCCTGCTTCCCCGGGTGTGGCCCTGGGGTTAGGGAGCCAACACTGGATTATGGGGGGTGAGGGCACAGGCCAGATGCCCGAGGGGGGAGTCAGAGGTCCAGGACTCACCCCACGCAGTGCACAGCCGTGGCTTCGCCGTCTGGGGCTGAGGGGCTCCGGGTCCCCCAAACTGTCCCCGCATGTTCCTGTGCAGAGCCAGCGCCCGGCCCGCGGGGAAGGCGGGAGGGAGCCCCCCGTGTGACGGCCAGGGCCTGAGAAGAGCCCCGGCTCTGAGGGGACAGGGGGACCGCGTCCTGGCTGCAGGCTCACCTCTCAGCTGTGAGGGCTGCTCCCTGTTTTGTGTTTGCCTCCTGGAGGCTCCATCTCAGGCGCTTGGCTTGTCCCACGGCCTGCTGTCCCCAGACCAGGCTCACCGTCCGAGGGCGGAGGAGCCAACCCACACTCTGCCCGTGGGGCCCGCTCACCCCCTGGTGGGCCCCGGACCCCTGGCTGCCTATTGGCTACTGGAGAGCCCCAGGGAGTCTGCGGTTTGCTGTGGGACTCGGTGGTTGGAGAGCGAGGGACACCTGTGGGTAATTCTGAGTGTCCCGCCCGGGCTGCGGGCTCCCCGCTCCTGGGGGCCGCGTGGGTGATTCGGGGCCCTGGCGGAGGCGCCCTGAGGTGGGGCCGCGTCCTCGCCCGGCAGTTAGAGCAGTTAGAGCTCGAGGTTCTCCGCCGCATCAGCAGATTGCTCTCCTGATAAGGCCTTTACAGCCAGCCCCTCATCTAGCAGAGTTCCCGGTCCTGACCCGGAAGCCCCGCCCGAGCCTCAGTTCCCCCTCTGTAAACGGGGCTGGCAGCAGCTCTCGCCTCCTAGAATCCAGCTGCTCCAGCTGCTCCAGCTGCCAGTCTCCAGCTGTGCCTGCTGCCTGGGCTCTGGGGCAGGCACCGCGCTTGGCCACCTCCCCTCCGGGCAGCACCTCCCTGGGCAGCCGCGCCCCCACCCCTGGCCCACTGCCCCCCAGCCCACTCACGGTGGCCTCGGCGGGCGATGCGAGCTTGTCCCCAGCCAGGGCCCGTCACCAGGACCTCCCGGCTGCCCTGGCCCCGCCCCAGCCACCTGTGCCTCTCTCAGGCCTGTCCCCAGGAAGGGGGCAATGCCACTTCCTCCTGTGGAAGCCCTGGTCCTCTGAGTGTGGGAAGGAGGGGTGGGGAGGGGAGGGGGTGGGGAGGGGAGGGGGGTGGGGCGGAGAGCAGACACCACCCTGCACCCCGCCCCCCAGGGGGAAGAAGGGTCCCCTCGGGCCATTAAATGCTCGGCTGAGCCCTGAGGTCAGAGAAAATCCCAAACCGGAGAACTGTCACTCTTTTCTTCTCTGGCCTCTGAAGAAACTAGACCCAAATCATACCTTTTTATTTATTTATTTTTAAATATAATTTTACTGATTTCAGGGAGGAAGGGAGAGGGAGAGAGAGATAGAAACATCAGTGATGAGAGAGAATCATGGACCGGCTGCCTCCTGCACGCCCCACACTGGGGATCGAGCCCAAAACCCAGGCGTGTGCCCTGACGGGAATTGAACCCTGACCTCCTGGTTCATGGGTCAATGCTCAACCACTGAGCCCCACTGGCTGGGCATAAATTTTTATTTTTTTAGTTAATCCTCACCCGAGGATATATTTTTCCATTTTCAGAGAGCATGGAAGGGGGGGGGGGGAGAGAAACATCCATGTGAGAGAGACATCGATTGGTTGCCTCCCCCACACTCCTGACCGGGGCTGGGGACCGAAACTGCAAACCAAGTATGTGCCCTTGACCGGGAATCGAACCTGAGACCCTTGGGGGCACGGGCCGAGGCTGTAACCACTGAGCCACCGGCCAGGGCCCAGCAGTATACGTCGTCCAGGGCTCCTGTTGAGGTGCTCTCCTGTGGACCGACTAGAAGAGGGAGCGCTTGCTGGCGGCCAGAGCTGCCTTGGGCTCCGGGCATCAGGGACATCAGGGATCGGGACCTTGACCAGCAGCTGGGAGTTCTCTTCACACCCCATTGACCTGCGTTTTGCCTGCGAATGGGTTTCGGAGGGCCCCTCCCCCTCCGTGTCACTTTCTCCCTCCCCGCCCTTCGGCCGCTCACGTCCCCCCTGGTCCCTGTCACCTCCCAGCAAACCGCCGAGTTCCCCGCGGGCTGGTTCCTCACCGCCTGCGTTAGTTATTACTGATTAAAATCTGTCCGCACTTGAACTCGGCGAGTGTGTTTGTCTTTGAAACGGGCTTGGCTAGCAGGTGGCCGCCTCCGCCCTCCCTCGTCTGCCCTGTTTGTGGGGACTCCGTCCAGCTGCTCTCCCTGGAGGCTCTGGGCAGGAAATGCAGGGGACACAGCCGCATTCTTGACGAGCCTCCTGCTGTGAGGAACAGCAGAGACAGGCGGAGCCCGGAGCCCAGAGCCCAGAGCCCAGAACCCAGAGCCCAGAGCCCAGAGCCCAGAGCCCGGAGCCCGGAACCCGGAACCCGGAACCCAGAACCCAGAACCCAGAACCCAGAACCCACAGCCCAGAGCCCAGAGCCCGGAGCCCGGAGCCCGGAGCCCGGAGCCCAGAACCCGGAGCCCAGAACCCAGAACCCAGAACCCACAGCCCAGAGCCCGGAGCCCGGAGCCCGGAGCCCGGAGCCGGAGTCCTGCATGGGGAGCTGGGCCTGCCTCTGCCGGGAACCAGCGAGTGCTCCGCTTGGGCGAGTCCCTCCTGGGCCTAGAAATACCCTGGAGGCCCCGATGGGGACGGCCTGGGCCACTCAGCCGCTCACAGCCCGTCCCTTCGAAGGAGGAGGGGCCGCAGGCACCCCAGCCCTCGTCCTCAGGTCCTGCAGGAAGGATCAGAGGTAAAAGGTCAACTCTGACAGCAGCATCCTGGGGACAAAAGGAAACAATCGAACAAACAAACGTTCCCCTGCAGCACTCGCGCCTCTCAGAGCTGCTGGCGTCACCTGTGCCAGCGGTACTACCCTGCGCAGGTGTCACGCGCGCCTGTGGGTGTGCTGGGCTTGGGAGGGGGGGAGGGAATTAATGGACCCCTTGTCTCTCGTTCTTTCAAACGCTGGGTCCCTTGCCCCCCTGAAGGAAAAATAGGGGCTTCTCCTTGTGGCCCGGGGAAGTGCCCCGTGGAAGGGGGCCCCTGGCAGGGCCCTTGTTCAACCC